GTCATTGGTGTTTTTGATTTTAGCCATTCTGACGGGTGTAAGATGGTATCTCAGAGTTGTTTTGATTTGTATTTCCCTGATGCATAATGCTGTTTTTTTTTTTAAACTATAGTTTTGTAGTAAAACTTGAGCTTGAGAGCAGTGATACCTCCAGCAGTTCTTTTATTATTCAGAACTGGCCTATCAATCCTGTTTTCCGTGTGTGTGTGTGTGTGTGTGTGTGTGTGTGTGTGTGTGTGTGTGTGTGTTTCCATATGAAACTGAAAATATTCTTTTCAATATTTGTAAAGAATTGTGTCAAAATTTTGATGGGGATTACATTGAACCTACCTAGAGATTGCTCTAGGTAGGATGGCTATTTTTCCTATTTTAATCCTATTAATCCATAAGCATGAGGTGCTTTTTCATCTTCTGATATCTTCTTCAATTTCTTTATTCAAAGTCTTAAAGTTTGTATCATACAAGTCTTTCACTTGCTTGGTTAGAGACCCCAAACTAGTTTATATTATTTGAGGTTATTGTAAAAGTTATTATTTCCATGATTTCATTCTCAGACTGTTTGCCATCTGTATATCGGAAGGCTACTGACTTGTGTGACTTAATTTTGTATCCAGCTGCTTTCCTGAAAGTGTTTATCAGCTGTAGGAGTTTCTTGGTGGAACTTTTTGGTCACTATGAATCATATCATCTTCAAATAAAGATACTTTGACTTCTTCCTTTCCAATTTGTATCCATTTGATTCCTTCAGTTGTCTTATTGCTGTAGCTAATATTTCAAGTACTATATTGAATATATATGGAAAGAGTGGACACCATCATCTTGTTCCTGATTTTAGTGAAATTGCTTTTAGTTTCTCTCCATTTAAGTTGCTGGCTATGGGCTTGCTGTAAACCGCCTTTACTATGTTGAAGTATGTCCCTTGTATCCCTAATCTCTCCAGGACTTTTATCATAAAGGGATGCTGGATTTTGTCAAAGATCTTTCCTGAATCTAATGAGATGATTATGTGGCTTTTGCCTTTCAGTCTGTTTTTATGGTGAATTATATTTATTGATTTTCATTTATTGAACCACTCCTGCATCTCTGGGATAAAGTCTACTTGATCATGGGACATGATCTTTTTTGATGTGTTCTTAGATTTAATTTGCAACTATTTTATTGAGTATTTTTGCATCTATGTTCATAAGGGAAACTGGTCTGTAAATCTCTTTCCTTGTTGTGTCTTTATATGGTTTGGGTACCAGGATAAATAACTGTGGCTTCATAACTGTGGATCCATTTCTTTTTAGATTTTCTGTCCTCCCTTTCATTTCTAATTTTGTTAATTTGCATCTTCTCTTTCTGTCTTTTAGTTAATTTGGATAAGGGTTTGTCAATCTTATTGATTTTTTTTTTCAAAGAGCCAACTCTTTGTTTCCTTGATTCTTTCCATTTTTTCTTTGTTTCTATTTTATTGATTTAAGCCCTGAGTTTGAGTATTTCTTTTCTTTTCTTTTCTTTTCTTTTCTTTTCTTTTCTTTTCTTTTCTTTTCTTTTCTTTTCTTTTCTTTTCTTTTCTTTTCTTTTCTTTTCTTTTCTTTTCTTTTCTTTTCTTTTCTTTTCTTTTCTTTTCTTTTCTTTTCTTTTTTGGTTTTTCGAGACAGGGTTTCTCTGTGTAGCTTTGGAGCCTATCCTGACACTCACTCTGGAGACCAGGCTGGCCTTGAACTCACAGAAATCTGCCTGCCTCTGTCTCCTGAGTGCTGGGATTAAAGGCATGCGCCACCGATGCCCAATGAGTTTGATTATTTCTTGCTGCCTACTCCTTTTGTGTGTGATTTCCATTTTGGTTCTAGAACTTTCCAGTGTGCTATTAAGTTACTAGTATGAGGTCTCTCCAATTTTTAATGTAGGCACTTAGTGCTGTGAACTTGCCACCTAGAACAGCATCCTCTGTGTCCCATGAGTTTGGGTATGTTGTGTGTTCATTTTCATTCAATTCTAGAAAGTCTTTAATTCCTTTCTTATTTTCTGTCTTGGCGCACTTTTCACTCAGTAGATGATTATTCAGTTTCTGTGAGTGTGTAAGCTTTCTGTTGTTTTGTTGTTCATACCAGATTTAGTATGTAGTGCTCAGATAGGGTTCAGGGTGTTATTTAGATTTTTCTTATAACTGTTGGGACTTCCTTTGTATCCAACTATGTGGTCAGCTTCAGAGGAAGTTCCATGAGCTGCTCAGATGAAGATCTATTTCTTTTGTGTTTGGGTGAAACTTTCTGTAAATGTCTGCTTGGTCCACTTGGTTTATAGAATCGGTTAGCTCTAGCATTTCTGTTTAGTTTTTGTCTGGGACTCTTCCACTCTCAGTGTGTAATGGTCAATATGTGATTTAAGCTGTAGTAGTGTTTCTTTTACACACTTGAGTGCCCTTGTGTTTGGGGCATAGATGTTAAGAATTGCAATGCCATATTGGTGGATAGTTCCTTTGATGAGTCTGTAGTGTCCTTCTCTATAACTTCTGCTTAGTTTTGGTTTGAATTTTATTTGTCAGGTATTAAAACGGCTACACCAGCTTGTTTCTTAGGTATATTTGCTTGGAATATCTTTTCCCAACCTTTTACCCTGACTTGGTGTAAAAGTTTGTTTTTTGGATGCAGCAGAAGTATAGATCCCATTTTTGCATAATTCTGTTAGTCTTTTGTTGAGGAATTCAGACAGTGATGTTGAGGGATATCATTGACCTGTGATTTTTTTATTCTTGGTATTTTGCTGTTGTTGTTGTTGTTGGAGGTGGTGGTGGTGGGGTGTGTGTGTGTAGGTGTGTCTGTTTACCCCTTTTTGATTTTGCTGGTCTGTGATTATTCCCTGTAACTATTCCCTGTAACTTTTGGAAGAGGTTCAGATAACCTCTTTAGGTTGGAGTAACCTTCTAGCACCTTCTGTAGGGCTGGATTTGCAGAAAAATGTTTTTTTTTTTTTATCATGGAATATCTTATTTTTCTCCATCTTTGGTGATTGAAAGTCTTGCTAGGTATGGTATTCTGGGCTGGCATTATTGGTCTTTTAGAGTCTGCAGCACATCTGTTTAGTCTTTTCTGGTTTTTAGAGTCTCCATTGAGAAGTCAGGTTTTTTTTTTTTTGCAAATTTTTTTTTTGAATTAGAAACAAGATTGTTTTACATGACAATCCCAGTTCCCCCTCCCTCCCATTCTCCCCTACCCCCCAACTAAAACCCTACCTATCACATATGAGAAGTCAGGTGTTATTCTAATAGGTCTGCCTTTATATGTTATTTAGTCTTCCTTTTAATAAGCTTTAATAACCTTTTTTGCTTTGCATGTCTACTATTTTTATTATTATGTACCAAGGAGGCTTTCTTTTCCAGTCCAGCCTATTTGATATGTGTGTTTCTTGAACTTTGACAGGCATCTCCCTTTTTAGGTTAGAGAAATTTTCTTCTATGATTTTGCTGAAAATATAGTCTGTGACTTTGACCTACATTTTTCCTTCATCTATTCCTATTTTTTAGATTTGGACTTGTCATAGTGTTCCAAATTTCTTGGATGCTTTGTACTAAGAACTTTTTAGATTTAACATTTTCTTTGGCCAATGTACCCATTTCTTCTATTGTGTTTTCAGTGCCTGAGATTCTCTTGTACTCCGTTGGTGAATATAGAATCTCCCTTGTTCCTGTTCATATTCCTAAAATTTTTATTTCCAGACTTCTTTCAGTCTAGGTTTTCTTTCTTTCTTTTTTTTTTTAAAGATTTATTTATTATGTATACAGTATTCTGCTTGCATGTATCTCTGCAGGCCAGAAGAGGGCAGAAGATCTCATTACAGATGGTTGTGAGCCACCATCTGGTTGCTGGGAATTGAACTGAGGACCTCTGGAAGAGCACCCAGTGCCCTTAACCTCTGAGCCATCTCTCCAGCTTAGTCTAGGTTTTCTTTATTGATTCTATTTCCATTTCCAAGACTTGATTAGTTTTGTTCTTTTCCTTCCATTGTTTATTTGTGTTTTCATAGATTTCTTTGAGGAATTATTCATAAAGGCTTTTTATGGTCTTATACTTGTGCTTCAACCATATTGGAATATTCAGGGCCTGCTGTGGTGGTTTTTCTGGGCTCTAGTGAGACATTGTCTTGACTGTTGTTGACTGTGTTTTTACTCTGGTGTCTAGGCATCTGGAATTGGGAAGATTGTAATTCTGGATGATGATATCTGGTCTTGTCTTTGTTGAGTAGCTGTTTTATCCATTAGTTTATATTTCTTCTATGGGTCTTATGAGCATGTGGTGGCTGTGCTTTACCTGTAAGAAAACATTCCATGTCCTGATAGGTGTGAGCACTAGGGGTTCCAGGTAAAGTCTGTTTCTGGTTACTGGGATTCAGGAATGTGATGAGCAGGGGATGAAAGAGGAGTCTCACAAGGGGTAAGAAAGCAGGTGTTCCATGAGGATCTGCTTAGTTAGTTTCCTGGGAATGGGGGTAGAGAGTGAGGAGAGGCCATAGCAGTATGTTTACTTAAGAGCTGGGTTTAAGACTAGGTGATTGGACTTGGGGAATGGAAGAAGGGGCAAAGATCTACAGCTAGCCTACTTGCTCCCCTGGTTAGAGTGGAGAGTGGGTTGCTGTTGAGTTGGGGATTAGGAGAAAGGTGAAGTTGGGGAGGGAGTTTAGGAAGGGAAGATCTAGGGGATTCACTGGAGCTGGGGGCAGAGGGGAAGGGAGACTGCAGGAGGTGTTCTTTTGCAGAGCTGGGGGATTAATTTGGAGGAGCAGAAGGAGAGTACAGGTCAGCAATTAGCCTACCTGCTTCCCTGGCTGAAGGTCCTATCAGTTCCTAAGGAGTCCCCTTGGTGTTTCTTAATCCAACCAAGTTGACAGTGGAAATCAGCCATTGCAACATCTGGAATAGAGAGTCAGAAAATGGTATCTAGAAATGCAGTGAATGAGTCTGGTCTAGTTAGCACCAGCCTTCTTGGAGACTTGGGGTCAGGCCTCTATTTCCATTACAGGATAAATGGGAACAGATTGTTGGCCAGGATTCCACTCTGGAGATCTTTCAACACATCTCCTTGATGACCTTGGACACCATCATGAAGTGTGCCTTCAGCCACGAGGGTAGTGTCCAGTTGGATAAGTGAGTAATATGTCTGAACTATAGGTTTTTGATCTTGCCAACTAAAGTGGCCTCACCTGAGAGGCAGATGGAACATCTTAGATATTAACATTCACAAAACAAAAGATCGTTCCTTATACAGTGAGAAATTAGGTCAAACTCTAACTCAAGATCAGGCATTAATCTGCCTCATATGTACCATGTATTCCCAGACAGGTGGAAGCCTGAATGGCCATGCAATCTTCTAAAGACATGGTGGTTACAAGGGTATAAGACAGAAGCAACATGAATCCTAGGGTTATCTTTGTCCAAATTAGGAAATTACCACTCTGTTTCTGGGTCATATCTCCTTTTGTCATTGTGTTCACAGAAAATACCAGTCTTATATCCAAGCAGTTGGGGACCTGAACAATCTCTTTTTTTTCCGTGTGAGGAACATCTTTCACCAGAATGACACCATCTACAGTCTATCGTCTAATGGCCGCCAGGCCATCAGTGCCTACCAACTTGCCCATGACCACACAGGTTCTGTTTGTTTCCTTTCTCTCTCCTCTTTTACCAGGCTCAGCCTAAAGAGGCTAACCATGATCTCAGAGGCAGAGTCAGGACTAGGACCTTTGGTCCTCTGAAGGATGTAAGATGAATTCATGTTGGGTACTTTCCTAGTACAAAGAAGCTAAGATGTAGGGTGCTGGAGATATCCAGTAGTTACTTGAGGCATCACATTGGTAATATTAAATGAAATACATTCAAGTAGCATTCAAAAAAGATCTCCAGTTGTTATCCTAAGGAGCGGCCTGATGTCTGTCAGATGTGCTAGACTCTCACACCTTACCCAACCCTTGACCATATACACTCTGGCCTCTGGGGGTGGGGAAAGAGGGTGCATGAGCTTCTTGGGAGCTATATTCTCATCTCATTCTGGTAATTAATGTCCTTGGATAGACAAAGTGATCAAATCAAGGAAAGCTCAGCTTAAAGATGAGGGAGAGCTGGAGAAGGCTAGGAAGAAAAGGCGATTGGATTTTCTGGACCTCCTCCTGTTTGCCAGAGTGAGTATGTGAAACCTGATGAGAGGCTTGAGACTTGACCTAGAATCACAGAGTGATGAACAAACATTACTCTTTCATCTGTGGCCTTCTCCAGATGGAAAATGGAAGCATCTTGTCTGATAAGGACCTGCGTGCTGAAGTGGATACATTCATGTTTGAAGGCCATGACACCACAGCTAGTGGTATCTCATGGATCTTCTATGCTTTGGCCACACACCCTGAATACCAGAAGAGATGCAGGGAGGAAGTTCAGAGTCTTTTAGGAGATGGATCTTCAATTACCTGGTGAGTGGGAGCTCAGGATAGAAGAGATTCCTGTCTTCTGGTAATGGGAGCTCCTGGTTGGACCACCTTTGTATGACTTTCAGATGGAACTCATTTCAGGGACCACCTAGACCAGATGTCCTACACAACCATGTGCATCAAGGAGGCCCTGAGGCTTTACCCACCAGTACCAGGTGTGAGCAGAGATCTCAGTACACCTGTCACCTTCCCAGATGGACGCTCTTTACCCAAAGGTATGAGTTTCCAAATTATTATTTGATACAAAAGAGAAATCAGTAAATCCTGGGAACATGTGTTTCTTCTTGTGGATGAAGGCAAATGAGAAAGTTCAGGAACTCCCAAGTCATGAATAAGATGTGGTTCACTGAGGATTCATCAAACTGATAGTGTTGGACCCAAAAGTGAAGTCCAACTCCGGGAGACGCACCCCACAGAATCACTCACTGGACACAAGTTCAATGTAAAAGAAAAAGGATTTTATTCCAACGCATTGGGGTCATTCCCTGAGAAGAGAACAGTCCCGAGTTTCTAAAGCAAACAGTTTTTATACCTTTTTGGTCACTAGGCAGGATTGTGACAACATATTGATTGGCTATAACATACATGAGTCATTTACTGATTGGTTGGGAACTGAACTTACAATTTTGCCCACGAGGGGTTTGGAATGTTATTTTGGTTTTTACACCTGCAAGGCCATGGGACAGCTAGTGTTTTTTCTGAGAACAGAGTGACTTATACTTATATTCAAAACTTGGGTGCTCTGGAGCAGGGTAACCCATAACAATTTTTTAGAAACCAGACTGTTGTTGAAGATAATAGAAACTAGTAATAACAACAATTTGCAGAGACTGATCATCATGACCGACCATTTCATGTGTTCTTTGTCCCAGAGCTGTGTGTGGCCAGAGTGATTTTCAAATACAGGCTGGTGGGTATCAGGCTAGGCTTGAGTTGGGGCTTTTCATTAGAAGAGTTCAGCTGATCGTGGTCCCACATCATGGTAGAAAAATACCCACTGGATTACTTATCATTGGGTATGATTTCCCTCCCCCTCTGCCACACTGAAGCTGTGTGGACAAGAAAAGATAACCAGTCTTGCTGAGACTTCAGAATATCATCTGAAAAAAAATGGGTATACAATAGCACATTTTTGGAGGTTGCTTGTGAATGTTGAGTGTGGCAAAGAATCATGGAAGACATTTGATGAAAGAGAGTTATCAGTTCACTTAATATAATAGTGATTCTCAGATGCTTTCTTGTTCTTTCACCTAGCTTGATGGCTTTTTGGCAACTAACCTGTGCTCAGTGCTTTGCTGACCACCCTCCTTCCCTATGATAAAAGTGATGATTTCTAGCATTCAGGCCATTTGTGTGTGCATGTTCTCTGCTGAATAAGGGAACAAGTGCTCTACCACATTGGCATAACTGGTCTCTTTTTGTACTACTCATCCCACAGGTATCTCAGTCCTGCTCTCCTTTTATGGTCTCCACCACAACCCAACTGTGTGGCCAAACCCAGAGGTATAAGGAGCAATGGGAAAAAGTCAGGGGAAGGTATCTCTGGACCAATACCTACCCCTACTCTCACTTCTGGATGTTTGGTTTGGATGAAAGCAGAAGTTTGACTCTTATTTGCTCTGGCCCTGGTATTCTCACTACAGGTGTTTGACCCCTCTCGATTTGCACCGGAATCTTCCCGACATAGTCACTCATTCCTGCCCTTCTCAGGAGGAGCAAGGTGAGGTGTCCAACTGTCTGTAATGAGTGGAGAAAAGGGTATATATCTAGTATTTGTGATTGCCTAGGCTCCTATGTGACATCTTTAGGTATTTGTGGGTGGGATGTGTTTTCTGTGCCCACCCAAAGAGTTGACATTTAAGGAGGCAACATTTTTTTCAGACTACTTTCCCCAAAAGCCATATAAATTTTTGTCAGTGTGTGTTTCAAACTTCACCATATATTGACATTTTCTAGAATATGAGTGTTCATACTTGGGGTTTCCCATGTAAACTGAATCTAAGGCATTTGTTTTCCTTACTGCCAGATATCTTAAAAGATGTATGTATGTTCCCACCATTCTCCACTCATTTTACCACTTCTGTTTAATTACCCAATCAGTCCCAACAATGAATATAAAAATTTTTCATGTTTTTGAAATTATGTTGAAGCCATGTTTGGAAAAGTACGGAGTCCACTGTGGATGGATGGGTGCCAATGAATCTTCCCTATACAATTTTGATTTCTAATTCAACAGAGTTTTCACTGCATATTAGTATGTGGAGTTTCCCAATGAGCAAAATTTGGAGAAGGATTTTACACTGTAGGGCTATGATCTACTTAGCCAATTTGAAAAATGGAGACAGTACCTTAGGCCTGACCTATCTATAAAGTATACTAGTGTGCACACTAACAAACATTCCTGAAATAGCTGCTGAGTTCAAAGGTTACAGTCCAGAGAGATGCTGTGAAAATAAATGAAGGCTAATTGACTAATCTTCTTGTGGAATGTGGATTACCAAAGAAGTAAGGAAGAGAAGGAAGGCTCTTCTGCATTCACAATTCTGTGGCTTCTGCCATGCATAATCAATTTTCACAGAACAGGCTGTAAGCATATTGTTTATCTAGACTGAGTTTATCTAGGGGTGAACCCTTCCTCTTAGGGATCAATGATGAGGTCACTGATGGGTAGAGGAGTATCAGGTAGCTAAATTGACACACAGAAGCGATTATTCAAGTTATTTTTCTCTGCTCCAAGTCCTATGCTTTGACAGGAACACAGACATAGGTTCTGCCTCTGGTTCATCCACAAGAACCGAAAACTGGTGTACACCTCTGTGTGAAACAGACATTTCTTTCTTCTTTGATACTTTCATTTACTTGCTAAGAAGTTAATAGAATGGCCCATGTCCCTGGCACTGTCCAAGGCCCTGAACTATGCTGTAGCCTCAAATAAATCACCAATTGTGCCTTGAGTGTCCAAGAAAGAAACATCAGACATGAGGATGAGGGCTAGCTGCTCATTGTTCTGAGCCTTGAGCATGTAGAAGGAAAGAGAGAGAGAGAGAGACAGAGAGACAGAGAGAGAGAGAGAGAGAGAGAGAGAGAGAGAGAGAGAGAGAGAGAGACAGAGAGAGAGAGAGAGAGACTCTCCTTGGCCTCTACAACATTTGCTGAGACAGAAAGTAGGGGCTGGGCAGGTAAGAGTTGGGGAGGCAGTCACTCACAGAGGTGTGGCTGCATCTGAGGCATATAGACATTACACTACCATATTGAAAGGATGGGAGGGTCAACATGAAGAGAAGGGATTGGGGGACCAGTGAAGTCTGGGACAGGACACTGAAGGCAGCAGACAAGGACATCCTTGAAACAGAACTAGGGGACTGCAGGTGCTAGTAGACTGAGGAGAAGTGGGAGCCTGACCACTGAGTGGGAGGCAGATAGGCAGGAGCTTGAGGATCCCCAATCCAGTATGTTCTCCAAGAACTTCGCCATCAGCATCCAACTCCATGTGAGGATTAAAGAGACTTTCTTCCTAGACAGAGAGTCCCCAAGAGTGTGATCCCTCCCTCCCCCATGTTGCCCTGACCAATGGAATCCACACTGGGAGATCAGAAACTCTTAATGTGAGAGTCAACTAGCCAAAGACGAGCTGATTCCTTGCCTCTCAAAGCAGGATTAGAGTCAGTCTCAGAAAAGAGGGCCTATTTGTGAAAGATTAAGAGAGCCAGAATCAGGGCCCAGAGGAGAGGCATAGGTATATGACCAGCAAGGAAAGGGGTCAGACTGAATCCCATGAAAGAGTGCCCGAATGCAGTTCTATGCTAGCACACCAAGGACAATGCCTACACAGCTCAAGACAGAATCTGAGGCCACTTTTTTTTTTTTTTCAGATTTATTTGAATTGGAAACAAGATTGTTTTACATGACAATCCCAGTTCCCTTCTCCCTCCTGTCCTCCCTTATCCCCCCCCCCACTCCAACTAACTCAGGCCACTTATTTTACTGTTCCTTTCTGACCCAGGAACTGCATTGGGAAACAGTTTGCCATGAACGAGCTGAAGGTAGCTGTGGCCCTGACCCTGCTCCGCTTTGAGCTGCTACCGGATCCCACCAGGATCCCAGTCCCCATACCAAGACTTGTGTTGAAATCCAAGAATGGGATTCATCTACGTCTCAAAAAGCTCCAGTAATCTTTTCAGGACAAGGACAGCTCCAATGGCAAGCTTCCTGCCATCTTGTCTTCCTGTTACTCACTCTTGTCCCAGACCATCTGCTCATGTCCCTTTCTTTCTTCCCTCTTTGCTCTTCTCCTTCTGTGTGCTTCCTGTCTCCTTATCTGTCAGTCGTTCTTCCTTACCTTCTTCCAGGATTGCTACTTGTTTTTCTTTTTACCTGTCCCCTACTTGAATGTATGTCTGACCTTCCACCTTAATAATATCCCTGACTTCTATGCTGCCTGCTCTTCTGGGTCTTTCTTTCCTTTCTGCTGCTTGTCTGTCCTTGAATGAGCTTTATACTGATGCCATAAATGACTACAACAGGTTCTGTTATGGTTCTAAATATCTGACATTTTACGTGATTTCACTGGGATGAAGCTAAGATAATTGCAGTGCCATGCTAGCCCCTCAGCTATTGCTATGCCTGTTCTTTTTCCTTTTACATAATCTAGAGCTGCATTCCTGGGTTTCAAGAGCCTTCCTAAGAATTAAAATCCAACCCCATCTTTAAGCATCTCTGCTTCGGTCTCCAGATCATCTCTCTATATTTCCAATGTGTATGCTCACTTTGTGCCTAAGATGGTAATAATACTGGCCATGCTCATAGTTCTACCAAGATTAGGACATACAAGTCAGAGGAGCTGTTGTTCAATCAACCTAATACAGTCCCTCCCTGACTGTCTCCTCATATATCCAGCTAAATCTCTCCTTCAAAGTCTCTATCCATAGCTTATTTTTAAAGCAAACTTTGTCATCTTTTCTCCTCTCTGTAATAAAGTTCACAAGGTAGCATGTTGTGCCCATCGTCTTTGAAGGAGAGGGAGGGAAAGAGAGAAACTAACTGCAAGAGAGACTTTAGGGAGGCGACAGATCCCTTTTGAGGCCAGGAAAGGAGGTGACATCTGCTCTCTGGTATTATGGATCCTCTTCAGACTGTCAAGATGGATCCCACATGCTCCAGGGGGCCTCACCTATGTGACATCTGATATCTACACTCGCCCAACTGTAAGGTTCTCATGTGACTGAACTTAGACAATGGGCTCTTGTCTGGGAACTCAGAGGAAGAAACACAGCTCTTTCGGGGTGGGGTGGGGTGGGGGGATAATCAGGCCTCCAGGCTAGTAAAGGATTAATATCACTCACTAATCAGGGCTCCAGTCTATTCAAGGATTAACACACCCCACATTTGATTCTTCTGCAGAGCACCAAGCCAGAGCCTGATTTGACCTGAGCAAGAAAGGCTTCAGGTTAGGTCAGTCACATGAGACTCAGGAACCTTAGCCAAGCCATCTGCTAGCTTGCCTCACATTAGTGTGGCAGCTCTTCAGAAGGCTTAGTGAACGGACAGCCACCCCATGAGGGATGAAAAAAGCTCAAAAGGGAAAATAGGCCCTGCTACTGGGAGATCCCAGACGGAGCTTCCCACAAAGGACTCCTTGGTGACCCTCTGCACCCCTCTCTGGCAACTCCAAAGGAGAGCGGACCCACATCCAGTTACTGCCTGAGTGCTGTTGTTCACCACCCTGGTGACTGCCTCTTATACACATCACACATACACTTGCATCAGGTTCACTGGGATGTTGCCTCTGCCTCTGATACTTCATTAGAACTTGAACTTGCTTCTCTTGTTTCTTGAAACACAATTTTCCAAACTATTTCTAGGTCAAAACCCTGGATGCCATTGACAGAACTCCCCGAGGCCCTCTGCTTGGGATATGATGTCATTTTCTGCTTCCCTGAGTGGGTTTCATGCCACTGTATTACCTTCAGGCAGGACATGGCTCCCAGTTGCTTGGCTTTTCAGGTAGCTAGATTAGGTTAGCTATTTTCTGAGAAGGAATAGAAAAGGACAGGCTGGACATCCATACAGAGAGATTTGAAAACACCCTGAAAACTGTAAGAAAGAACTATAGAAAGAGTCCAAGCAGCCTGAGAACCTTGAGCAAAAGGAGCAAAGTTGGGAGAATTAAAATAATTCACATTAAATTGCACTACAAAGACCCATAGGCAAAAGAATGCAAAATGAGATCCATTACATAGACAAATGGAACAGAATGCAGAACCCAGAGCAAAGCCACATATTTACAACCAATTGAATTTTGTTTCAAAGTCAGTAGGAATGAATATGTTGAAGAATGGAAAATTTCTTCAATGAATGGGACTGGGGAAGCTGATATCCATCTAGACCTATATATCTCAATATGTAACTGCTACAACAGAATATAGGAAAGAGACTCTAGTATATTTGGCTAAACAGATTTTTTTCTGGGATATTCTCTAATAGCACAGTCAACAGATGTTTAAACTAGACCAATGGAATATAGCTAACTAAAATAGCTTCTGGAAAGCAGAGGAAACAATCAACCAACACACAAAGCATAGACAATGTATTTCAGCTATTCATTCAATAAATTAATAGAATATGTATGAAACCCAGCAACAAAACCCAACAAAAGTCCGATTTTAAAATGGACCCAAATTAGAAATTCCTCAAACAAGGATATACAAAGGGAAACAGATGTGTTAAAAAATGTTCAACACACTTAGGAAAATGCAAATAACAACCAAAATGGAGCATTATTTCATCACAGTTTAAATTGCTATAATCAAAAAGAAAAAAATTAAATCTTAACAGAACTTCATAGAACATTCATATAATGTTGTAGGGTCACTGTGTAAAACAGAGTCACATCAGAAAAAAAAAAAAACTATACAGAGACTAGTGGCATAGTTTATGGTAAAGTGTTTGCCTGAATTCACGAGGTCTTGGATTAAATCTAAAACACCACAAAAGGAGAAAGGAGGGAAAAGAAACTAGAAAGAGCTATGGTATGATTTGAAATTTTACCGATGGGGTACATATGAAGGAATAGAAATTAGAGTGTTGAAGGGGTATCTGCACTCATGTATTCATGACAACACTTTCCTTAATAGCCAAGACACAGAGTTAACATTGGGTACCCATTAAAGAGGCAAGAACACAGAAAATGAGTTATGTGGTATGTATGCATGATAAATATTTTGGGATAAAAAGCATAAAATGCTGCCATTGGCAGTAACATGGATGTAACTGACATTATACTAAATGAAATAAGCTGAACACAGAAAAGTAAATACTGCTTTTCCTAACATCTGTTGAAGATAAGAAACAATCTCAGAGAGGCCAAATAGAAAAGTGGACACTAGTGCCTGGGAATGGTGTGAGGGGAAGAATGATGGAAAGAGAATGGTTAATAGATGAAAGGTGCAGTTAGAAAGGAATACTGACCTCAAATATTTAAAGCACCATAGCAAAATGATGGCTGACAACAAGCAAGCAACTATATTAATATACTTAGTCCAGGGGATTTTGAATATTGAATTATTTAAAGTTGCCAATGCTAAGAAATGACAGATGTCTGGGGTTATAGATTGCGAGCTACCTTAATGTGGCAACCACACACTGAAAAGTCACAGTGTGCCCCATAAGTATGCCCATTAGTAAAAAATACTTCCTGTGTTTGCATGTTAATTGCCATCACTTAATCCATGGTTGTACATTTAGGTAATTCTAACTTTAAGTGGTTGTATGATATCAACAGTGACATTTTAGAATGGAGCATGCATTTCTTTTTTTTATTTAAAAAAGTTATTTTTCATTTTACATACCAACCCAGTTCCCCCTCGGTCCCCTTCTCCCGGCTCTTACTTCCCCCACTTCCCATCCATTCCTCAGAGGGGGTAAGGCATTCTTTGGGGGAGTTAACAAAGTCTGCCATTCTAAGTTGAGGCAGGACCAAGGCCCTCCCCCTGTATCAAGGCTGAGCAAGGCATCCCACCATAGGGAATGGGCTCCAAAAAGCCAGTTTATGCACCCAGGATAGGTCCTGATGCATCTTCCAGCCCCACAACAGATCAAGCCACATAACTATCACCCACATTCAGAGGGTCTAGTTTGGTGCCATGCAGATTCCTCAGCTGTCAGTCCATTGTCTGTGAGCTCCCACTAGCTGTGGTCAGCTGTCTCTGTGGTTTTCCCCATCATGCTCTTGACCCCCCTTGTTCATATGATCCCTCCTCCCTCTCTTCACCTGAACTCCAGGAGCTCAGCCCAGTGCTTGGCTGTGGGTCACTACATCTGCTTCCATCAATTACTGGATGTAGGTTCTTTGGTAACAATTAGGGTAGTCACTAATCTTATTTAGGGGAAGGGCTGTCAGACACCCTCTCTACTATTGCTAGGAGTCTTAGGTGGGGGGTTAACATTGTGGATTCTTGAGAATTTCTGTAGCACCAGGTTTCTCCCTAAACCCATAATGGCTCCCTCTATCAAGATATCTTTTTCATTGTTCTCCACCTCCTTACCTCCCACAACTTGGTCTTCTTGATCCCTCACATACCCGTCCCTCATACCCCCTTCTACCATCCTCCCAGGTTACCCAGGAGATCTTAACTATTTTCCCTTCCTGGGGCCCTTCATGTGTGTCCTTCTTACAGTCCTTATTTTTACATGGCTTCTCTGGGTTTGTGAATTGTAGCCTGGTTATACTTTGTTTTATATCTAATATCTACATATGAGTGAATACATACCATGTTTGTTTTTCTGGATCTGGGTTATCTTACTCAGGATGTTTTTTTCTAGTTCCATTCATTTGCCTCCAAATTTCAAGATGTCATAGCTTTTTATCACAGAGTAGTACTCCATTGTGTAAATGTACCACATTTTCTTTATCCATTCTTCAGTTGAGGGGTATCTAAGTTGTTTCCAGGTTCTGGATATTACGAATAATGCTTCTACAAACATGGTTGAGCAAATGTCCTTGTTGTATGATTGTGCATACTTTGGGTATATGCCTAAGAGTGGTATTGCTGAGTCTTGAGGTAGATTCTCAATTTTCTGAAAAACCTCCATGTCCCGACCTGCAGGACATCAACTTGGAGCAAGAGAGTCAGGGATAGGGAATGGGGACAAGAGACGCAGAAAGAACAGGACA